TATCTTTGCAATCGATCACAGCTTGTTAGAGTCGGGAAATGGATTAGCGAGGAGCTACCTGTTACTTTCGGTGTTCCTCAGGGCAGTGTTCTTGGCCCAACGTTGTTTTTAATATATATTAACGATTTATGCCAACTGAAACTTTCCAACAGTAAAATAATAGCGTTCGCTGATGACACTGCTCTACTGTTTCACGCTGATTCGATAAAAGAGGTTTTTGATTGGGCACAGGAAGGACTGAATGTGGTATCTAACTGGTTGTCGGGGCACCTTTTAACCCTGAATGTCACAAAAACCAAGTTCATTATCTTTTCCTCTGGGCGGCAGACTCAACATGATTATCTCTCTCTGACGGTTCACTCTTGCTTATCTAGTAATAATTGCGCTTGCTCTAAACTTCTAAAGACAGATAGTATTAAATATCTTGGTGTAATGATTGATTCAGTGCTCAGCTTTTATCCCCATATTGAGCTCCTGGCAGGTAGAGTAAGGAAGCTCATTTACATTTTTAAAACTCTTCGCCATGTTGCGGACTTTCAAATTATTAAATCAGTTTATCTCGCCTTATGCCAATCAATCTTAAGTTATTGTATTTCATCTTGGGGAGGAGCTGCAAAAACACATCTGATCAAAGTGGAAAGAGCGCAAAGGCTTGTACTGAAGGTTGGTGCTTCACTCCCAATTCTTCATGCCACGAGTCAAGTTTACAGGCTTTGGGAGGTGCTTACTGTCCGTCAGCTCTTTATATTATCAACTGTTCTTCGTAAGCACTCTCAGCTTCATTTTGATGGGAAAGCTCTAAATGGTAGACGACGTAAGGGAACTGTTTGTCCTACCCGTCCTTTAAAAACTAAGTTCACAAAAAGATTCTTTTGCTTTATGGGTAGCTACCTTTACAATAAATTGAACACAATCCTTTCCTTCTATTCAATGACCAAAAGGGACTGTAAAAGAAAACTAAGCTCATGGCTACTTAAGCTAACATATGACGAAACAGAGGACCTATTGCTCACCTCAGGATAATATACCGCGAAAATATCAGCTGTCTGTCTTACACTTATCATATCATCCACACACATAATTATAGTCACGCTCACGTTTACATACACAAGCACGCACACTCACATTCACACCAAATACACATACATACTGCATAGAATTTCATACAAATACACCCTTTGTTTAACCTGTGTCAATTAAAATTAAAAAAAAAAAAAAAAAAAAAGTAAACTTTGTTAAATTTATATTCATACTCATGTTTTTTGTTAACCAACATTGGCGATTCGAGGTGGTGGGAGCCTGATGACCTGTAACACAGGTATATCGTACCTAGTTAGCACGGGCATCAGTCTCACACAAACATTAATGTAATAATATATTTAAAAAAAAAAAAAAAAATGTGTTATCGATGCCAAAATGTTTGTGATGAGAAAATAAACGATTTATTATTATTATTATTATTCTGTCTTGCTGGACCGGCGGTGGCGGTGGCGGCAACGTAGGGGCGACTTGTTCTTGAGCTTCATCAATACGGGACGGCGGACTCTTCTTAATGCATGGCTTCAGCGCCCCTGGGACTGGATCTTCGGCAAGTGGTGCGACGGACCCACCAATCTGTACGGTGTCCTCGACGGTCGGTCTTCTATACGGTTCGGTGGTGCCGCCGTCGGGGGTGGTGTCCTTTGTCGCTGTGTCCAGCCAGGTGATGACGCGTTCTTCATTCTCGGTGCCATGTGTGCTATCGGTTTCTCTTCTATCTTCTATTTGCGGGTCCTCTTCGTCCTCATCTTCGCTATCTTGCTCTTCCATTCGTATCTTCGCCCTTATAGTCTTCTCTAATTCTTCATATAACGCCGCCAGGCGCTTCTTCTTTGCTGCTCTTCGTGCAGCTATCTTCGATTCGGTTCGGTGTGATGTCATTGCAGCTGATGGCGACTTCGGCGGTTGGTCGTGGCGCAGCGGGTACGGTGGCCGCGTCACGGTGTCGCTCCCTTCCGATGGCGCTCTTGACGGGGGTTGGACAGGATTCTCTCCTGCGGCGGTTCGCTCTGGCTCTTCGATGCTTCTCTCGATGCGCTCCTCTTCGGCCTGGTCCATTTTGTCAGCTTGAGATCTTGTTCGTGGCATTTTTCTTTCTTCAATCTTCTATATTTTCTGTCTTCAATCTTCTATAATTGACCACGACGATCTTCTTTCTTCAATCTTCTATAATTTTTCTTCAATTCTTCCTCGGCGCTGTAGATCCGGCTCGATGCGACCAAAAAATGTACGGGACGCCGGGCTGTCGCAGTAGCGGACAGTTACCGACTCGTACTGAGGGGTGGAGGAAGTTACACGCAGGAGTCTTGACTGTAGTGGACTGTAGTTTCGGCGAATAAAACCCCTGGTGTTCGGTATTGAAGAAATCGGTGGGCGCTGATAATGGATGGCCGGTGAGAGGAGGCTTCAGGTCCAGAGTGAACCGCTTGATTGTTTCTTCCTGTTCCTTATGGTAGGAGCGCCTGTCGCTGAATGCATGTCGGAGCATGTTCCGACTCGAATTTTATATGCTAGGACTGGGCTGGCCAGCGATCCATTACCTCACCCACGCTATACTTTATTTTTCATTTTCTCAAAAATTACATTAGTGCGAGCTTAAAACTAATTGTACATACATCGGGCATACATATAGGCATATTTTTAACACAGTTATGTGTCCGTAAGCATGATATTTTGGTGTGGCGCGCAAAAAATAGGTCTCCGCAATATTTATACTTTCCCCCTACATAGGGCTTCGCCCTGCCACGGGGCTTCGCTGCCCCACCCGCGCGCTCCGGGCGCGCCGGGTGGGGAGCGCAACATGTCTCAGAAAACGGTTCTATACAAACAGATTTTGTCTCCTACACGGTACATTTTTACATTTATTGATGTGATACCTATTTATTTACGTAGCCCTATGCGTTATCTACCTAACACAACAAATTTCTAATAAGAATATCAATAAACAACAGCTCTGCGGCCCTATAAAGTTTACAAATTAAAAAGTCTTAAAAAACCTACTTACATTCACTTAATGCCTAACTATCATATACCATTTTATAGAAGAAGTAAAAACACACAAAATAACATCATTATCATAACAATTATACCTATATCCTATCGACTATTCGTAAAAAACTATTTCCAATATTTTCCTTAATTACGCCTAAACTACTAACACGATTCATACAAAACTTTGATATATTATTCTTATAACTACCTATTTTCTAATAAGACATAAAATAAATCAATCAAAACATAAAACATATTATTATCGAAAACTATCAACTCAGGCAAAATCCTATAAGATGTGAGACAAGGACAACCTATTGTCTCTGTCCCTCCTATAGGTCGGAACTATCAGTATTCTGACTAGTTTCCCCGCGCCACCGCTTGGCGTCGTGGCGATCGTTTAGACAAATTCTTATAAGATTGTTGGAGAGAACGGGGCGGAATATCGCTCTGAATTATCAATTTTACAACGGTTTACTATGGGCAGAGCTATCTATTATTGCGATATCCGACTCATTCTAATAAGACAACAAGGGAATGATATTTTTAATGCGTATACAACCGATACATGTGAAATTATAGATACATTTTATACATCAATCTCATATTGTCGTAAGTTCATTTTCTCTCGCTCCGGTCGTCGCGTACAGCCACCTTTCCTGCCGGAACGGATTTTCGTCGGATCCGGAGACCTGCAGCACCTGGGCATCCCCACTCGACGGGTGGGACATATCTAAACAACTATAACGCGGCCGTAGTTGCGAGAGTCAGGTAGTAAAATATAATAATACTAGTTGTCCCAGCGAACTTCGTACCACCATAAAAAAATAGGGATTGGTGATAGAAGGGTGTAAATTTAGGGTTGTATATATTTTTGTATGATGTATCATAAAAAATAAAAACAAAAATTAACATTTATGGGGATGAAAAATAGATGTTGACCGGTTCTCAGACCGAGAATCGAAAATGAATATGCATATAAAATTTCACGAAAATCGGTCGCGCCGTTTCGGAGTAGTTCCATTACGCACACCATGACACGAGAATTATATATATTAAATAATAGCATGTCTAATTTTAGTCAAGCCATGAGTAAAGTTGGCTATCTCAAAGTAATTAGTCAGGAAAGCTTGCAGCATAATTTCTTTCTACGATGTTTAACTAAACGCCAGTGTCGTCAGTGTTTTCTTTACATTTCTAACGCTTTTTTTTGAGTTCCTAGCATACACATTCTAAAATCAAATAAAAATAAAGACTACACTGTTTGGATTTACTATCGTTTGAATTATACGAGAGAAAATTAAAAAAGTTATGTGAGGGTTTTGGCGGGATTTCATCGAGTGCGGTTGGCGTCTTATTTTAATTATTCTTTCATTCGTTCACAGTGTATATTTTGCAATAAAATTGGTGTAATTTTGTGTTACAATCGTCTGCGCAACTGAAGAATTAGTGGAATCTTTAAATTACACTATTCTGGTCAAGTGGACGTGCGAACTGTATTGTAGTGTTGACTACCTCAGAGAAGCTTATCGAGAAAGCTGACTTGATGCATTTCGTGCCAAACACTCCAAGAGACATTAGAATACGTCATACCTACATTCTAATGTAAAAATAATAATAAAGAAAATTGAAGACTAGACTGTATGGGCATTGTTCCCTTTGTCTTCCCTAAAAAAGGGAGAACGTTGAAAACAAAAAAGTTATGTAGTTTGCACTATGATTTACAAAGATAATCCTTAATATATTCCAATAAGGCTTAAAATGGATTGGCATTCGTATATCCCTGTTGTCTGTCATTCGCACGCACAATTAATGATGTCAAAACACGAATGAAAAGTGAAAACAAATACTTGCATCCTTGCATTAAAACAATTGTATAATGTGAATAAATTATATCGCTTTAGAAATAAAATAGAAGCTGACGGTCATAATTACCTATATTACTACGTAGAATAAATAATTTATTTATAATGGCTGCTATTCTTGGCGGCGGCCTAGGCGGTCTTTCAACAGGTTATTATTTGCTCAAAAACAATTTAATTAACAACAACAATCTTAAATTATATTTGCTGGAAGGAACTAAGTACTGCGGCGGCTGGATTAAATCTATTAAGACGAAGGATTATACGTTTGAACAGGGACCAAGAACGATCAGGCCAAAAGGTATCATTGGAGTAAACACTTTGAACATGATACAAGACTTGGGACTCAGCGAGCATGTAGCATCAATCAAACATGATCATCCCGCAGCGAAAAATCGTATGATCTATGTAAACAACCACCTGCATTTATTACCATCCAGTTTCAAAGGTGTGTTTCAGCGAATTACACCCTTTTCCAAACCCCTTATTTTTGCTTTACTTAATGATATAAAACAGCCTTATAAACATTTGGAAGACGACTCTATTTACAATTTTGTTGAAAGGAGATTTGGAAAGGAAATTGCAGATTATGCTGTTTCACCAATGATTTGTGGAATATGTGCTGGTGATGCTAAAGAGATCTCTGTGAAATTCCTCATGAAAACTCTTTTTGAATGGGAGCAAGTTCATGGTGGGGTAGTCAGGGGGATGATAAAGTCTATATTTAAACCCAATACTGACAAGATATTAGAGCTCAGTGATCTTGCAAGAAGGGCACAGGAAGAGAAATGGAATGTTTATACTATCAGAGGAGGTTTAGAACTATTTCCAACAGCTTTGCACAATTATTTAAAAGATAATGATGTCAATATTAAATTAAACACAAAAATAGAAGAAATTCAATTTGTAGATTCGGGTACAGTTGTTTTGAAAAATACTGCTGGAGAGAAAATAGAAGTTAATCATATTTATTCTTCAATACCTGCCTACTCTCTTGCAAATTTAGTTTGTAAACAACATCCTGAGTTAGCTCAAGACTTAAGAGACATTCCCTTTGTAACTGTTGGTATTGTTAACTTACATTTTGCAACAGAGAAGACGTTAATTACACCAGCATTTGGTTTTCTAGTACCACCGATAGAAAATTCTCCAATTTTAGGAGTAGTATTTGACTCTTGCTGTATTCCTGACCAAAATGGCACTGTTCTGACTGTTATGCTTGGAGGCAGATGGTTTAAAGAGAAATTTGGTGATGCTGTTACAACTTCTACATTGTATGATATAGCGGTCAAAGAAATAAGCTCAATCTTAAATATTACTGAGAAACCTTCAGCACATAATGTGAATATTTTACATAGATGCATTCCACAGTATGTTATTGGACATTACGAGAGGGTAGAGAAGATCAGGCAGTATATAAAGGATAAAAATTTGCCCATATCCCTTGTTGGTTCTAGTTATGATGGTGTTGGCATAAATGATGTTATTTATTCAGCTAAGACTCAAGTATTGAAAGACTGTATTTAAAATGTTATATCCAGAAAAATCTGTTCCATAAATTGAAATGATGTGCCATAGCACATTTTCATGACACAATATTTTGATAGATTATAATATTTTTTCAATAATGCTGTTACCATAATGTTATCAACTTCTTTCAATTCTGTATATAGTTTATAAATATATTATTATAGTTACCAAATTTATTGTAATAGTTATGTTGAAACACTAAGGCACAGCACAAACCAAGATAGATGCGGCAAAGATTTAAAATGTAATATTATGTTTGTTATCAATTTCTTTGACTTCTGTATACAGGTTGTTACAAAAATACATATAAAGCTTGAAGGGCGTTGAAGTACATCATAAAAGGAGTCTTCTCTAATTTTCTTAATATATTTGCATGAAGTTTTAACTTTTTATTAAAAAAACAGTTATTTTTAATGATCCTCGAACTAGTGATGTGTCTTAAAATTATCGATATTATTAATCATTAAAAATAACTGTTTTTATATAAATAAATATTTCCAACACTCATACCAATTAGCCTAGCCCCAAAGTAAGCACTGTAAGGCTTGTGTAATGGAATGCTAGGGTAACGGATAGAATACATGTACTGTACATATATAAGTATATTTATATAGAAATACATATTAAACATCCATGACTGGAGTACAAATGCTCGTATTCATCACACAAACATCTGCCTCCACCGGGATTCGAACCCGGGACCTCTCGAGTCGGCGACACCATGAAACTCGGCGTACAAACCACACGGCCACGGAGGTCGTCATAAAGTTAAAACTTCATGCAATTATTTTAAGAAAATTAGAGAAGACTTCTTATATGATGTACTTCAACACCCTTCAAGCTTTATTTGTACTTTTGTAACGCCCTGTGAAGGTTTTAAGTATATTATTATAGTTACCAAATTTATTGTAATAATTGTGTTGGAAAACTACGGCGCAGCGCACACAGAGTGGCGCGGCGAAGATACTGCGTGAACAAACTAAGCGTGGCTCGTAGGCGATTTTGAGGTCGGCCTAGAGCCATGTACCGAGGTAGTCGCGCGACGGCTCTCGAGGTCGCTTCGCAGCGCTTCTATACTATTTCATGTTTGCCATGAAAATTTTAATCTTATTATATAGGAATTACGGGTCATTTAATTATTAACTTCTTAGTATCTTCGCTCGCCTCTCCCGGTGTGGGCTGCGCCTATAAGGTTTAAATAAAACATCTTCTAAGCAGAAATATATTATATTTTGCTATAAATATGATAGCAAATGAAATACTTGTTGCAAAATTGCAATACAAAATGTGCAAATGTTTACTTTGTTATAATAAAATAAATATGCAGTGTTACTTATATACTTCATTAGCTCATATACTAAATTAATCCTTACAACTAAGAAAGATTTAAAATAAAATTAGGTACAAAAAATAAATAAGAAATACTCCCCATACATTCACAACCAACACAAATGGAATTTCATGAATAAAGTTCATGTAAAAGCTACATTATGTTTAGGCACATTTCCGTCTCACACATTCATTATTTTTATTTACCTACAGCTGCTTAAGTATTCGATAAAGTGAGTTATATAATTAACATTTTTATAATAAAATAAGGGATGCGATGCGACTAGCAGGAAAATCGGTATAACACTAACAATTTAATTTTTAAGATTATAACTCAGAGGCAATAAGCATATATATATTTTTTAAAACATTATATTTGATATTTACTCTTCAAGCTCAACACTTTCTTGAGAGCTGTTAGAACTAGGGATGTGAAGACTAGTGTAGATAAAATAGATATATTTATGGTAAAATTAAGATAGATCAGCATATAATAATGTTGGGCTTGATAAATGGTTCATTTTATTTCCAATCATATCACCATGGGTTTCTGAAATTAAAAGAAGATACTGTAAATCATCGAAGTTGTTACTTATATTTAGTAATAGTGATTAGATTGTGTACATATACATTTTTTATTACTAGGTAAAGGTTCAGTATCCAAGGTTGAAGTGCGCCTTCACATAGGCCGGCATTAATCAAGGGTTATAAATCGGCACACCCGGTAGCCGGGCGGTAAAATTGAATATAATTATAGATGAATTTTCGGCAGTAATCACTTTGGGTCGGTTTAGTTATTCGACAAATTCTGCCGAACCGACTATGCCGCATGCCGGCCGGGTTATGTGTGTAGCTACCCTAACAGGTTCGATTCCCACATTGTATACTACATATTATTGGACCATGATTCGAACTTTTCGTAAATCATTTCCAAGATCTGGTAATTTGGTTTTGTGTGTATTTAAATAATTACAGTTATTATATTTGGTTGCTGAAATAAAAGTTAAAGGGGGTGTCATCGTAACTAATAATACAAATGCGAATGTGTTGTTTAAGTTTGTTACGATTTCGCTCCAAAACTACTGAATCGATTATGCTGAATTTTGGTAAAAAGATAGATGTAAGACCCTAGGGGACGGTTATAGGCTATTTTTTGTCGTGAAAAAATAATTACAGATTCCTGTGGGATTCTGAAAAAACTAAAGGGCGGCTGCTAGTAAAACATAGATTACAATAGGCTAGTTGACTCATGTCAAATTGTACTATACAAGTGTTTTTTTCTTATAATTTTTGGTATGAGGAACCTAAATACATCTATTTCACTTCATAATATTAGAAGATGGCTTTAGTAATTTAATTTGAAAAATAGTTTTTTAGTCTATACTTTTTAAACACTAAAAACGTTATCCACCATGATTGTGACGTCACAAAATTTGTAAACAACTAAACGTCAATGTCGTGTTACTGTGGTTTCTTTCGTCGGACTAAAATATATCTAAAAACTTATATCTTGTATAAAATTTTCCGTTTATTGGTTTTGTTGACTAAATTAATGCTGGACGCCGGATTTGTGAAAGCAGAAACGACAAAACTATTTTACTTAGTTACATTACTTACATTCATAACCTAAAAAACTGTATTTTTAAATATTATTCAATGAGTGCTTACATCGAAGTGATCTTTGCAAAAAGAAATTACTTTCAGTCGAAAAATCACAGGATTTAGCAAGTTTTAAACATATTGTGTTCATGTGTAGTTGTTTATTTCTCTAGGCAATTTAAACCACAACTTTTCTAGAGTATTTTTCATGTAATCTATTAGATATCATGGTTTTATAATGTAAACTCAGATAGGTTTTTTCATACGTGCCTGAGAGTGTTCGTTTACAAATGACGTCATAGCATAGATAAATCTATAGGCTAAAATGGCCGACAACGTTTTTGTATGACCATGAAAAATCTATTACAAAATATTGGAGCTTTCTTTCTGGTCAAACAAAAATACAATACATTTTTTTTCGGTCTCATAAAGCTTTTAAAACATATTTCCAAAATGTGTCAACTAGCCTATGGATACGTACATTAATCCATAAATACATCAATAACATCACACCGGGCATCAATCCTGAAGCCCGTGAGAGTCCCAGGAGACTACTGCGCTTCTGGAAGGAGCTGGGCTGGTTGAGTTAGCTAGCCCAACATACCCTGTACGCACAATGGACCAAATACGGAGACTACATGAGGAAACGGGGGCCCACAACAAGTAACAACAACAACAACAACAAGTAACAATGGATACGTACATTTATCCAGCCACCAGTCCCAGCTGTAACGTCACTACAGTGTACAAAGTGTGGTCTCTGTGCGGTTGAGCGTTGGCCGCGGGCGGTACTGTGTTCCGGTACGAGTACTGCAGAGCTAAAGTAGCGTTCGCTTCGGTACCGGGCGTAGCACTTTCTGACGTCTCCACTTCGAGACGGAGCGCTAATTTGTTCGATTTGCGCCACAGAATTATGCTATAAGAAAAAATGATAAGCTATTTATTATTGAGGTGAAACTTCTTTACGCATGCTTGTTTTGGGGGGTAAGCTGGCGAATGCGTTACGAAAAGTGTGTTCGGGCGAGGCGAACGGGAGTTGAGTGGGGGATATAAGCAAGAGAAAGCAGTGCGCGCGCACATTTTCTTTCTCTCTTTCTCTTATAACTCGTAAATGAAATACGTTTATATATTTTACACGCACATATATACGTTACGGGCAACGTCATTACCTGGGCATTATTAATAAGGACCGGTAATTAATAATAATGCCCAAGAGCAAATGGCCAAAGTGATTAATTTATCACTTTGACCGGCCATTATTAATAATGCCCGACGGCCCGTGGTCTATGTAATAAGTCAGTGTTTGAGATAGCTTGAATTTATCACTTGGACCGGGCAGTATAAATAAATTCAAAACGTTGGTGTACTATTATCAAAATGATAGATGTCTCGCCATTTTGTGTTTGTTTTGAGATCTTGGTGAATAATCATCATCAGCCTATTAATGTCATAATCATCATCAGCCTATTAATGTCCCCACTGCTGGGGCACATGCCTTCTCTATTGATGGAATAGGGAGATAATGTCTACCGACACCTAAAATTGTTGGACCCGGTTGCATCGTCAGTCGTTAGTAACCACTATCAACATAGAGACTGGACTGAAAAATACTCGATAGGTGTCGAGCGTTAACTCAGTATGTAGTAATTATAAAAATAAAAACTCTCAGTATTATATCGCGGCCTATCGTGGTGCGCGTCATCTCTCTGCGCGAGCGTTAACTCAGTACATTATATAACCTAAAACCCCCAGTATTATCGCGGCCTACCCTCCAGTATCGTGGTGCGCGTCGTCGTCATATTCTGCCGCGTCCTCTCTGCGCGAGCGTTAACTCAGTACATTATATAACCTAAAACCCCCAGTATTATATCGCGACCTACCCTTCAGCATCGTGGTGCGCGTCGTGGTCATATTCTGTCGCGTCGTCTCTCTGTGCGAGCGTTAACTCGGTACATTATATAACCTAAAACCCCCAGTATTATCGCGTCATACCCTCCAGCATCGTGGTGCGCGTCGTCGTCATATTCTGTCGCGTCGTCTCTCTGTGCGAGCGTTAACTCAGTATATTATATAACTTAAAACCCCCAGTATTATTGCGGCCTACCCTCCAGCATCGTGATGCGCGTCGTCGTCATATTCTGCCGCGTCGTCTCTCTGCGCGAGCGTTAACTCAGTAGATGGTGCGTTCACAGTACAGGGGCCGCTAAGTACAGGCCGTCGCTGCATCCATTGGTATAGGGAAGTGTCCTGCCAAACAACCATTTTAATAATAATTATGTTTCGCTCGAGCACTCGCACTAATTATTTTGTAATTTTAACATTGAAGCGGAGAGGTAATGCTACTAATAATTAAGTCTTATTAATCGGATACAATGGGCTTCATTTCACAATATATATCACAAAAACAATACCAGAGTACAGAGACAAACTGAAAATTAAGATTGTATTGTAATTTAAAATTACTAGTTTCGAGTTATTGACGCCCGAGTCAATAGTTTTCATTGCAGCCGCAACGCTGCATTAGTGGTGTCACGTCTAGTCATATTAATATATAATATAAACATATTTTTGCCAAAGCAACGATGGCGGTAACAATGCAGTAATATAATATTTAAAGGTCCAACCAACTTTTGGAAATGACGGTCATGGGATCGCGACTAAGAAAGCATTGATGGGTTTTCTGTTATGAGTTCTGTTAGAGAGAGAATATGGTTCTGTGCTGACTTTCTGGCTGACAGGTATGGCAGGGATACCCAGGTCTCCAGCAAAAGTTTTTTTAAAACATTAACAAAAACACATTCTAAAAACATTGTTTCTGAAACATGTTTTCTCTACAGACGCCGAGCAGTAGAGCTCATGTGGCTGTCGTTCACAAAATACACGTTCAAGAACTACGATCCAGGTTCAACTAATGACAAATTTGACAAAAGTTTCATACATTGTATGTTAAAAATGAAGCGTTAGAGTGAAAAGTTGTACTCGGAGCGTAGGTTTGGAACAGAGCCCCCGTTAGCGTGTTGTCAAAAAAAAAAGAAATGATGAAACAGTATCCTGCCCCTCGAAAGTAAAATATGTGTACTGATACAAAGTTTTGTGTAGACGACTTTGTTAAATGTTGATATGTTTTTGTTGATTGTGTAGGGCAAAACACGCGCTGGAGACCCGGCTTTGTCTCTACTTTCGCTTCTGTATCCACTTTCATTAAGTGGGATTGGTAAGTAGCTCGGTCTTGTAATTCTAACAGAAAACAATTATCGGGAGCTGTAAACAAAACTCACCTTTTCCAAATTGAGCGACTTCTCGAGGGATTTATCTAAGCTCTTGGGTTCTTCCTTGTCGTCGGGTGGCAGGTCTTCAGGTCGCAGCAGCTGCATTCTCATCTCGTGCCCCGTGGGGTTGGTCAGCTTCAATAACAGGGCAGATTTAGCGCCCGGCTTAGCACTTTCAAACGATATGATCTTCACTTCGGGCACATGGTAACTAAAAGGTAAATAAGGAAATGTTAGCACTTATAATAAAACCTACTTTATTACAAAAAAAACACTGAAAAAGAGGATGATATTATAATCCAACAATTGGATGCAAGTTATTTAATTCAATGCATTAAAAGGGGCATCTCTGCCGGCACTCCCCTTGGTTATTAATTGTTTGTAAATTATATGTTTGACAGCTGTCTTACCCTTACAATCCATGCATGCCAGAGGATAACATTTTGTCAAATGTACAAATACCAAAAACATACTGTTGAAAAATTTACTAGAATAAATTCATATATGGTGTCGATTCTGGCGTGATTCTCTAAACTTAAAACTAAATTTAACATCAATCTCTCCTTAAATAAGAAACAAATAAGAAACAAATATCAATCTCTCCTTTTCATTCCGTATAGAGAATGACAAGGATACGCTGTTGTCAAATTTAAGTTTGGGTTTAGAGAATCGTGTCAGAATTGACACCTATGTATGCTTAAAATTAAAAATATAATGAATATACTGTTGTCAAACATACAAATATAAATAGAAAACTCATTCGAGTTGCCAGTATAGAAACGCGTATTCATTAAGCAATATATGTTTATAAACACAGTTTTTAATTATATGTATATATTATCATCTCTGTATACCATTAAGAAACAGTTTATAAACAAAGATAATGAAACATTGTTTCAGATACATGTTGCCGTGTTCTGCATTCTTATTGGAGAGCAAGACGAAACGTTTAGTTTATAAACAAAAGTTGACAGGTGTGGATGTGTGTTGCGGGAATATCATCTCATAGTTTAATTAAACATGGAAGTAGTGTGGTCCAACAACCAAGTTTCGATGCTCTATGAGCTTTATAGATTACGTTACGTAAACTGTTTTAGGATGCCTCAAATAAAGATTATTAGGTTAAAATAAAAAAGATGCTTGGACCGAAATTGCTGCAGAACAAAAGGAAGTAGAAACAAAGATACATGTATACGCTGCGCTCACAATTTTCTCGGGAAAGGGAAATACTTATAATAATCCAAAAAACTGGAAGTGGAGTTCAGGAAGTTATTAAATGCGAATGGCTGTGTTATATTAGCAAAATTTAACACTACATCTTCGAGAGACATCCTATCAACAACTGACTAGTGTAGACGGCCAAGTTTCAGAAATAGTGTTTTATAAACAAGATGATGCACTTCATAAACAGTTTCTCAACAAATGTTGCTGAATATGCGACCTTACAATCTTTATTAAAACAAATGTGTCATTGAGTGTAAGCATAATAATGATGTACTCACTAAGCCAGTAACTCTATCTTGAACTTGATGGAACCGGGGTTGTACTCGGGCTTGGTGAGGTTGTGGTCGCAGGCGCGGCACCGCTGGCTTCGTTTCACACTCAGCAGTTTGGCGAGCGGATGTAAACGTGATACGCTTATGGGCTGCCACGCCGGCGACGCTAGCCGCTGGGCCATACTAGTGCCTATACATTATTATCATCGTTAGAACTGTGACTCCGCTTCACGCTAAATAGTTTAGCGGATACAGCCGCGATACGCTTGTAGGCTGCCACGCCGGCGACGCTAGCCGCTGGGCCATACTAGTGCCTATACATTATTATCATCGTTAGAACTGTGACTCCGCTTCACGCTAAATAGTTTAGCGGATGCAGCCACGATACGCTTGTAGGCTGCCACGCCGGCGACGCTAGCCGCTGGGCCATACTTGTGCCTATACATTGTTATCATCATTAGGAATGTGACTCCGATTCACGCTAAATAGTTTAGCGGATGCAGCCGCGACACGCTTGTGGGCTGCCACGCCGACGACGCTATCCGCTGGGCCATACAAGTGCCTATACATTATTATCATCATTAGGACTGTGACTCCGCTTCACGCTAAATAGTAGCGGATTCAGCCACGACACGCTTATGGCCTGCCACGCCGGTGACGCTAGCCGCTGGGCCATACTAGTGCCTACACATTATTATCATCATCAGGACTGTGACTCCGCTTCACGCTAAATAGTTGAGCAGATTCAGCCGCGACACGCTTGTGGGCTGGCACGCCGGTGACGCTAGCCGCTGGGCCATACTAGCCATTATCATTATCAGCCTATGAATGTCCTCACTGCTGGGTCACAAGTCTTCCCTATGGATGGAATAGGGAGATTGGTCCATGACTACGCCACCACCGATGACTACTACCACTGATGACGCGGGCCTAGTGCGGATTGGAGGTTGCTAACGATTGCAGATGCAGCCGGGACCATCGGCTTGACGTGCCTTCCGAAGCGCGAGTCGAGTTAGTAAATTTTTGGTCACCCATCCAATTACCGACCTCTGTGAAAATTGCTTAAATTTAACTATCGCAGCCGAACGCGCTTGCCACTTAGGCTATCGAGATTCTCGGCATACTAGTGCATACATATTATTATCTTCATGTGAATGTGAATCCGCTTCATACGGCTGCTTCATATATTATTAATTTAATATTTCATAATTTGTTATCCAAAAAAAAAACTTTAGATAAATAGGATTCCGATTATCTGACAATTAGTTATACACTTACTCAGTTTTAAGTTCACATCCTTGGTGAATATGTCCTCAGGCAGCTCTTCTACTTCGGAAGATGCCTGGCTGGGTGTAAAATTTGCAATGGTAGCTGAAGAACCACTCTCACTGGAAGGCAGCCCTGCTATATTACGGGCCATTGCTCCCGTCAACCCAGTTTTATCCTATTATAAGTAGACAAATCTATATTATAGAGGGAATATTAGATTGTATTGAATAGGCTCCGAAACTACTAGACCCATTTGAAAAATTTCATTCACGTTTAGAATCCTACATTATACCTAATGAATATAGGCTATAGAGTATTTTCAAAAAAGTTAAGGTTCCGTATGAAAACTTCGATAACGTAACTCAGGGTATGGAAAAAATACCATAAAATAACATTATATCGCTTACGCTGCAGAAGTCATTGACAGTAGAGCAAAGTGATGTACCAAAGTTTTATAGCGAACATCAATATCTACAAAAAAAGTCCGCGATACTATGTGTCTATTACAGTTATATCACAACTAAGGTTTCACCCCCGTTAATTTGAGGAAAAAGGCTATAGTGAGTCAAACTTACAAGATGGGCATTTGTTGTTGCAGACTTTTTTAAAGAACTTTGAAGGGGGAATAATTTCGCCATACATGATTTTTGTGTAACTTTAATCATTACGCAGCACACGCAACGGAAGGTCACAAATGGAATATTTTTACGCGTTTTTGCAACATTTTACATTGATGATCCAATCCACTCCTGTTGGTCGCAGTGTGATGGCCTTAAGCCTTCCTCAACAAATGCACTATCTAATACAAGCAGATTCTTTTAAAATCGGACCATTAGTTCCTGAGATTTACGCATGTAACCGAAAAAATGGTGCATTTGGTACAACGGGTCCTAAAGTACGCAAAATTCCACTATCACTTAAATATATTTTTATGGAAGGTTTATAATTATGTAAAAATAAATACTGTATTACACAAGCCTTAAAACAAAACCTATTGTCTGCCTACACTACAGCTCTATTCCCAGGTTCGAATTCCGGTGGGGACAAATGTTAGTATGATGTGCATCAAGCATTTGTACCTTAGTCATGGATGTTTATATTTATTTCTGGATAAAATATAATTACAGTAGAACGCCGATTATCCGAATGCCGATTAACCGAATCGCCAATTATCTGAATCAGTCCTAAGCATAATTAAAAAAATTAAAACCAAGTTACTTTTGTTTTTTTTTGTTGTAACAATTTGGAACTCGCTGGATATGGATATATTTCAACTGTTAAGGTTGAAAGCTAGACGCAAGACACTATTATTGTATTTAGTATTTTAGAACTGGGTTTGTTAAACTTATAATGTTTATTCTATGTGTGACAGTTCTTTTTTCTTTATTACCAGACTGGTATGTCCGATTATTTGAATTTTTGGTTATCAGGATATTCAGTGTTCTATTGTATATATATATATACATCAGTATAATATGTTTTCTATCCGTTACTAGAGCATACCATAACACAAGCCCTACCATGCTTACTTTGTAGCTAGGCTAGTTGATGTGTGTATTAGAAATTAGGAGCCAACATAAGACATATAGCTAAACTTGCATATTTGTTACAGGTAATTTGTTTTTATTAATTTCACATTTAATTTACTGGTATAATGTAATGTGTTTCTGCAACAGATAATAATATCCTTAGAGATAAAAAAACTCTGTTAGAAATATCATATTACATTCAACATTTTTAATTTGCTGTTATTTGCATTTTAGTTTCTGTAAGTCTTACTGTGAGTGTAAGGTATTTCCCTCGAATAGCAAATTTCTTTCTCTCTCTTTCCAATTTCTCTTGCTTTTCTTGTTGTGCAATAGCTTTGTAGTAGTCAAGCAGTTGGTTGAAGCGAGTTGTGAAAGGATTTGTTCTCTCTGGCCAACCACCAGAAGCTGTAATCAAAATTTAGTTCTATATAGTTGCAATTATTAAGTGAGCACATTGATATTGTCTTATGATCTGTACAGAGAAGGTATGACATTTAGTAAGTTAGCAAAACTATTTAATAAAGAAAATATTTGGGATAATCTTTTAATTTATCGATCATTTTCTAAACCATTAATTTTAAAAATATAACTTTCGATTGATAAAGGCAGTAAAGAAACACCCATTTATAAATGAATTGATTATGGATTGTTTTTTTATAACATGTTAAAGTTACCAACCTACTGGTTGGTCTGGAATGCCAACATCCCTTGAGGTCCACCTGCAGTTGAAACATGACAAATAGTACATTTTCTTAGGCTGCTTGTTTTCCACTTTGGTATCACCCCCAGCTGCATCTGCCACAGGTTGCCTTGGCTGTGCCAAAGTTGCCCGTGTAGAAAGTGTATGGAAGCAGCTAGGGCAGTCAAAGCAACTGCTACATCTATTCTTCTTGAGTCGCGCTTCTGAAGAAGGCATGTTTTCTAAGCAGTTAGCACAGTAATGGGAATCGACCTGTAAAAAGCCAAAATGTATGTAAAGATTATCTGATCAATTAATGACATTTCTATTGAGCAGACTGATCAAGAGGAAATATTCACAATTGTTGTATTGGTTTTCGCAACAATAGTCTATCAATAGACCATATACAATTACAAAGCGACTGCATTTAACTCACAAAAGGCAGGAGTGTCTTAGGAGTGCCTACATAATCAATATAAACTATGTGGTTTGTACTCATTTTATTTGTGTAGATGAAATGGTTTAAGTAGTAATTCTAGGTGAATTTTTAACATAGTTAAGTGATACAATTAACTGTTAAACCAAGAGAGAGTGGATTACCTCATGACAAATGCAGAAACCGCAACGTATCTTCAAACAGTGCCGACAAAAATAAAGACTTGTAATAGGTTTGAGTTGTCCACAGGAACAAACATATTTCACATAATCTGGCTGGGTTAAATATGCCATTATGTTAACAGAAATTCAAATAAATGGGGCAAATCATACGAGACAATTTACGAAACTTGGATGACGGCAGGGTAGAGATTTGTCATCTGGGAAATGACAGCGAGGCATTGACATTGACAGACAGTTCTATTCTTCTCTATTGAGAAAGGCAAACGCAAAGCCATGCAGCCATCGTCTTATTTTTGTATTAATCTTCCTTTTTTTTTACATTAGAATGTGGGTGTGACGCGTTCTAATGCTTCTTGGAGTGTTTGGCACGAAATATATCGAGTTGGCTTTTTCGATAAGCTTCTGTGAGGTAGTCAATAATAGTCCACTTGACCGGAATAGCGTATATTTTAAAGATTCCACTAATTCTTCAGTTGCGCAGACGGTTGTAACACAAAATCACACCAATTTTATTTCACAATATCCACTATGAACAAATTTAAGAATAATTAAAATAAGACGCCAACCGCACTCGATGAAATCCCGCCAAAAACCCCCTTGACAGATAGTGGTTGTCAAATTTGTCATTAAATCGGGTTTTTAATAATAAAGCAAAGACATGTGGTATATACGGCCAACTTCATTAGTCTATTTTCGTTTGTTTTTTTTTAATCTCCTCATATATTTTCTTCTTGTACCTATATTAATGTATATGCCTATACTAGTGCCTACTAGTGCACAAGTTTAATGTCGAGTCACTATCCTTAAACTCCTCTTGAACTCTACCTCGTCTTTGGGGATGGATGCCTCGGTGCACCCGGGCATCCCTGATCCCTCGACAGCAAGAAAGAGTAGGATTACCTCTGCCGGATAATGTGGAGAAACTTAGGTACTCACGAAACCCGTTCCGATAGCCGAGGGCTCTTTCGGCTCAACTATAAAGTTTTTAGTGGGTAGGACTCTTCTCGTCCCGGCAGCCAATAGGCCAGGGAGGCCCGCACTCCTACATGGACTCATCCGGAGGCGATGAATGCGTGACGTATTATCATAACAATAAAAATGGTCCACTGTGCCTTGGTGCACTCAATTTTGGAATACCTCAATAGGAACTCGTTTGACATGCTGCAGACCAGATGCACATGCATAGATTTCTGTTGTTCTTATTATATGTTTGACACGCCTCGTGAATTACAATTTATGAATTACAATTTTGAATTTTAAGTGGCTTGTGTAGTTATTGTCTTGCTTACCTGTGTCTTGTGTATTGATTGCGTGTTTGATGCAAATCGATTGTTTGAAACATGTTATTATATTTTTTATAGAACACCTATTATAAATATATCGATGCTAATACATATTATAAATGCAAAAGTTTGTCTGTCTATCTGTTACCTCTTAACAATTAAACCGCTTAACCGATTTAGATGAAGGTATAAAGATAGTTTGAGTCTCGGAAAAGAAGATTTTTAATCCAGAAATCATACTCAAAAAAGTGAAAAGTTTGTATGGGTCCCTTAAGAGCGGACGCGAGCTGAGAGACATTTGAGAAATGGGTATTTGAAAAACTATTGCAGTTGCGCGCATTGGCAAATATCGTGTGATAGGGAACAACAATAAGCTAGCTAACGCTGAATATTGCGCATAAAAATTGCAATAACAGATTTAGCTCTAGACGATTTCCTCCTTGTTTCCTTCTCTAAAATTAGTTGTGTAAAATAAACCTCACCCATAGAATAATAAGTAGTTATACTAAGCCTCTTTGTTTTGCTTATTTTTTGTATATGCTTATTGAATCTCCGCACTGTACGTATTTAGTGGTGATAATTTTTTTTATCATTTTTGAGGGCTTCTACTTGCTTTAAAACACGAGTTATCAAAAAAAAAGTAAGACCTAGGAGCATAGAATGAGTAGAACTATATTTTATGTATTGAAATCATTTATGTAGTGATTAAACCAAGGAGGCATCAGTCGAGAACGTTTGTATGGAAAAAAATTGGCTGCCTCCCCTCTTAAGGGTCATTTCTAGGATAAAAACTATACTATGTCCTTTTTTCAAACTAATTTTATTCCAATTTTCACCTAAATCAGTTCAGCGGTTTAAGCGTGAAATGGTAACAGACACACACACATTAATTATGAAGTGATGAAGAACGTGTCATACTTCAAACCAAACAGAATAATAGATAATTGGGAATTAACCAATGCGAGGATATGTGGAACGACAGGTTGATTAACTTAATTTAAACTTTGCACGTAAAGGCAATGTGTCTGCTTGTCCACTGCACTGCAACACTGCAAGTTTTATAAGTGGCCTTAAGGTTCCGTACTTATAGTTTTTTTTTATAGCCAGTTAGGCAAATGACTCTACCCCACTTAACATGGTGACAAAGTCCGAACGCGAAGATAGCTGGTACAGCAGTTATAAACTGCTACACCAACCATCCAGTTAGGTACATTATGATAATTTAATTTTCGGTTTTTAAAGTGAAACTTTCATGCATGTCGCAATTCATTTTTAATTGTTATTAAAAATCAGACCTACGCACGCTCGCTCGTTTTTTTAAATGTAACAGTTGTTTCATACTATAAATTAGTAATCATTTAACCAACTACCTAATGACTAAAAACTTTTGTCGATTTTATGACATTGACCGTTAAAATAGTTTTGAGATACGCATTAAAAACTTTACTACCTACTCTATTAGCTGACGTAGATTTTAATCAATTCTTAAATATCAGATCATATAACTTCGATAAGGCTCTACGAATTTTCACCACCAAACTGTCTACGATCAGGTTTTTTTATCTGTCTTTCTATCACACTTTCTTTATTTTTGCTATCAAAACGTTTGGTTTTGATTTAAACGGACCATAAAAAAGTTACTTTGTTTTTCTCCAAGGTCCCCCTATTTCCACTTATTTACCAAAAAGTCATACATATTGTTTTAAGGTGTACGTATGAATATATGTGAAACAACAGCTATCATAGATTTTTTTTCGCTTTTCGAATACCATTATGGATTGGGTTCTTTTACGACTGAATTTAAATTACATAATAAATTAAAGTAACAGGTAAAGTTTTGTATCGTCGTATAACTTATATTTTACAATGAAAATAAATAATTATTTTACCTGCTTACTTGCAAAAATACCCGTTTATATCTAAAGAAAAGTTTACTAGAAAAATAAAAACTTTTTCTAGTAAACTTTTCTTTAGATTTAAACATCTAGCAGTTAAATGCTTAAAAAATAAATAAAATCATAACTATAATTGCTATTTCTTCTTTCAAATGTTTAATACTTGAAAAAGTATTCATTTGACATTGTGGGTTACCTACAATGCGAAGAGATGGCGCTGCCTTGCAGCTTAAAGCTAGGAAAATTTCGACGCGGCTAATAGGGCCATGGTAGCATAATGGTCAGTGCATTCGCCCGGATAGCGAAGGATGCGGGTTCGAGTCCCGTCCGCTGCCTGGTCCGCGTGGATTTTTTTCTAGTAAACTTTTCTTTAGATTTAGACATCTAGCAGTTAAATGCTTAAAAAATAAATAAAATCATACCCGTTTATGCTATATTTCATGTATGCATAGAAAAGATATCCCATTTTTTTATAATTCTATATACTATGTAAAAAAATCCGCCGCTGATAATAAGCACGGACGGTGTAGGCTTAGTAATACCGTTGTTGCTCTGTTGTCACGAAACCCCAAAAAGGAGTTTTTAGCCAGGATCTTACAAATCACGTTCAGTTGAAATTACAAAAGATACCCCAAAAAGTGTCAACATAATTGGCCAGCTCATGACACGACTAAGTTGGCATTCAAGTTGACCGGAGCGGGGCGACCGTGACGTGCATTCGAAGCGGATCCATGCATATGGACGTTGCGCCCGCGCAAGCATGCGGCATGAGACATACGGCATGCCAACAGGAACATATACGTGCACCCGGCTTTGCTTTCTAGTGATGTAACACGTTGCGAAGTGGTTCACACTTATGTCACTCGGTATTAATTACCCATGATCGTCTATGGTGCAGACTGCTCGTAATTAATTGTACCTTTATATGTATAAGAAGAACCAATAAAAATATATATGTATATACATATATATTTTACATATATATGTATATACATATATATTTTTATTTTTATATCTACTGTATAATAACCAAGTAATATTAAGGTGGTAATCACTTATCATTATTGTAATTAATGAAAAATAATCCTACTAAATAAAACAAGTTTTAACTGTATAGTTGCACTGATTTATTTATTTATTTACGTTTGGCATCCTTTTCAGGATGCGTCGTCTGAATTATGATATTATAAAACCGTGCATCAGTACCATTGAAACTTGTTTTTATTAATAAGTGGTGTGCGCGAAAACCTAAGAAAGAAATATACACAATAAGCTTCGACGCAACTGACGCAAATGACAATAATTTTATTGTTATATTTTTTCTTTTATTTTGGCAACAAGCAGTCATATATTTTACAAAAGTAACTTATGTTAAACATTTATTTATGAAATAGACATAACAGTGCCTAAACACAATATTAAAACAGTTCTGAAGTTAGGACATGGTCAGCTAATGAGAATCCAAAATTAAACCATTACAATACACTATTGTATGACGAAATATTTATACCATATGCATATACATATATATGTGTCTGTGTACACACACATATACATACATACGCACTTTATTTTATTGTTGCTTGATTCACATGACAGACAAAACACTGCTTAACAAGTCCTCCCCATAAATTTTTCGTTATACAGTAAATATACATAACAGTAATAATACCTTAATTTGATACGAACACTTTGCAACTAATAGCCTATTGATTGATAAGATATATAAGATGATTCGATCGTTGATTATAATATGTGCTAGTTAAACGCTCTAAACTGAATAAAAGACTTTACGTTAGTTTGAGGTTTGCAAAAATTTCTGGACAAAGTTATAATTTATAATAATTAAATGTAATATATGCGCTATTAAATTGTATATAACGATTTCAAGAGTGCTTAATGACTAGGTAAGCATTTGTTAGCGTGTAATATA